TCACCCTCGGATCATGGGTATCTGGGGCTAGATAATTCTTCTCTGGGGTGCTGTCCTGGCCTTGTAGGATGACTGGGGAAAAGTTGAGCCCCAGCTACTGCGTGCTAGTGTGGCATTTCCTGAGGCATAGTGGAAAATGTCTCAACATCATGAAGGGTCCCTTGGAGGGGGCCAAAATCATCCCTGTCAGAAATCACTGATCTCATGGTTCACGGACACCGATGAAGAAAATGCTGTTTGAAACTTAAGGGGGGAAACTACCCACTCGAGGCCCCCCTCCTATCCCTTTCTCGGGACAGGGGCTTTCTTTCTCTCAATAAATATATTCTGTAGAAAAAAAAAAAAAGAAGAAGAAGAAGAAACTTAAGCAAGATGCTCCGGAGTTTGCTTATCTCCCGGTTGTAGATCTGGCCCAGCTCCAGGGGTCCGGTCACCCACTCTGGGCTTGGCCCTGAGTGTGCTGGTGGCCTTGAGTGACAGCTCTACATACAGGCTTATCCTGCAAGCAGGCTGTAAGTCAGGGTTTGTGCACCGTTGCATGGTGTCTGGCCCCAAGAGCCAACTGAGTAACCAGCCTCCTGATACTGTCCCCAAGCTGGTCCCCAAGCACCCAATGGTGGTCACTTGTTAAAGTCTTTAATTAAGAGCAGCTGCTTTTGTCTAGCCAATTACCTGTTTTTAATTATAAAAATAATTCATTTCAATCTTGTTCATTTCAATATCCAGATTTATACTTAATTATGAATTCTTTAATTAAAAAAGGTTGCTGGTGTATACTGATATTCATTTCCTTTATTTTGAAATCTAAGCAAGGGAGGTATAACACCGAACGGGGACTGGCCCATGAGCAGTGTCCCTGGCCAGTAGGACTGTCACTGGGCCTCCTCCCTGATTCCCTTAGAGAACAGGAGAACCACCCTTCTCCTTGGGATGGCCTAGCAGCAAGCCAGGGAAGGGACAACCAAGCACAACTTGGTGCCCGAGGGCTGTGTGGTGGGCTTCTCCTCTGCCCACCATTCACTGAATCTGCCATTGATCACAGAGAGCTCCCCTGCAGTGAGAATGTTCAAGTTGATCCTGGCTTTAGAAAATGCTCCACACCATCTTTGAGTGGAGGTGTCATAGCCCCTTGATTTTAGGGGACTTCGTGGAGATTGCCCAAGCCTGTGCATAGCAAGAATGCATTTACCAGCAAAGAAAACTTCCCCACTCCAAAACACCTTTCGCAGTGCCTGAAATTTATCAGTTTTCCATTTGAATTCAAAATGTGAAATCTCTTTAAAATGCCACCCAGCTAGGACCTTCTTGATAACTATTGCTCAAGAACTCTCCAATTTTATGATAGCTATCAGATGCTGAGTTGGCCCTCAGCGAGGCCCTGTGGGAACTGGACATCAGGCAGATAGGTTTTGGTGTCGTTTGGAGCATAGATGGGAGATGGGGTCCAGGCTTAATGGCTCCTTCGTTGGTTCAGTAGTTCCCGGGTCCACATTAGGGGGATTGCTGCAGCCAGCAAGAGGGCACGGTCTCTGTGCTGTCTGTTGGACTCCCTAGGAATTCATCAGATGACTGCAATGATAAGCATGAAGTTGAGATGCAGGACATAGCTTTGGTCCCCCATAGAAGATAGAAGGGCTGGGAGGCCCTGAAGTCACCTTGAAGAATTGTGTGGGTGTCCCTGGCCACACGTGCTGTGCAGTCTGATGCATGTTTCTTAGTTATATGGAGCGTGTTCATTTCAAGAATGATGGTGATTACCAGATTAGCACACGGTTCGGTTGGGCTATGACTTAAATAGCTGTAATGCTTTTAAAACCCTTGGACCCTATGTCAGCCTCTCCTGCTGTTTAGAAAACAACATCAAAAAAAAAAAAAAAAAAAAAAAAAAAAAAAAAAAAAAAAAAAAAAAAAAAAAGAAAAGAAAAAGAAAAAGAAAGAAAGAAAGAAAGAAAAGAAAACAACATCAAAGCTTACCTCCTGGGCAGTCTTCACAGTCAGCATTCCAAGGCTTGTTTTCCTTTGTGTTCACTGAGCTCCTTGGATGTTTCCTGAGGTAACTGTGCAGAAGGGATGGAAAGCAAGGTCTTTATCCTAAGAACTCAGCTTGTTCTTAGGCTGTGGGAGGACACGTGGCTGAGGCAGCCACCCTCTGCAAGGTCCTCTCCCTGGGGATTAAGAAGAGCTTGTGGGACATTTATAAATGCTGAGTCCAGTCAGTTTGCAGAGGTGAAAGCCGCCACTCCAAGGCCCCATGCAGCCATTGCCTGGGGTGGCAGTGACCCTGCACCTTGGGACCCAGAGATGGCACCTGCATTCTTTCCCTGGTACTAGGGGAACAGCCAATCTGCTTCAAAGGAAGAGCTAGGCCTTGAGGAGAGCCTGTGTGACCGAAGAATGGCTTCCCTTTCCGCTCCCCTCCAGAAGAGAGAGGTGACAGAGCCCCCCCCCCCCCCCCCGCTCCTGCTTCATGCACTGATCCAGACAAGGACAAGCAGGCCCCCAACGTCACACATGGGTTGTGTTTCCAGTGTAGCTTTTGGGTACCTGGGCCACAGTTTCTCCCAGAATCAGTCCTGTCAGTGATGATGACAAGATAGGAAAGACCTGGGAGCAACATTTGGTTCCCAGTGCGGACACCAACTCCAGCTGCACTGTTGTGAATTAAATAGAATTGATCCATGTATTCGTAATATGGTTTGCATAGGAACAAGGAACGAACATTCCTGCTTGGAGTCTAAGGTGCTCAGCATGCATCTCCCTCCCTGTCCTGCCCCCATCTCTGTTGTCAGCAGGGTAGGGACACCTCCTGGCCTCCCTCAGTCATCAGGTGCTCCTGGCCCAGCACAGAGAGAGGTCCTGGAGGCCATAGGCATGCCTCCCATCTCCAGGGCAAGGAAGGAGTGGGTTTGTACTCTCTTGTCCCAGAAGGCAGGGCTTGACTTGCAGGTGAGATTCTAAGACTCAGCTCTTGGGACGGGGACGGGGTGGGGGTGGGGGCTTGATCAGTCCATACAGCCAACCCAGGGCCCTTTAAATGAAGATGCCATGGGACACACTCATCTAATGACAGCTACTCACCAGTGTGACAGCCTGGCTTGCAAGGCAGAACAGACCCCTCACTGGACATCTTCAGGTCGAAATCAGGCAACCGACTGCCATGAGCTCCACTGAGGAGTGACTCTAGAAGTATAATTGGTTAGAAAATAATCACATTTTATCACTTGCCCATTATAGGCAGCATTACAGTTTAGATCTAAATCGTCCACCAAAAATCTCCTAATGTGTTTGGAAGGCAATTGGATCACAGGGCGCGGCACTCACCATAGATTCAGTGCAGACTCTGCTGCTAGGGCGTGCAGCCTGGCTGGAGGCTGGGCCCGGGTGTGAGCTGGAGGGATGCATACCTGCCCCAGCTCCTTCCTTTTCTCCTCCACCCCTTCGACTGTATAGCTTCTGCCTTGGAGCTGGCTGACCGTGGGCTGTACATGCTGACACTGAGCCAAAATAAGACGGGCCAAATGGAGACCTGCCCAGAGGGGCAAAGAGGACTGTGCCCACGTTCACACACTCAGTCCTGAACTCAGGGGTCTATGAGGTGGGGCTCCCCAGATCCCTGGATCCTGGAAGCCCTTGTAGGCTGGGACTTGGTCTCCCAAAGGTCACCTCCAAGTAACCCCACACTTCTGTTACTTACCCCCATGCCCTCTGTACCACTGGGCATGAGTCAACACCAGGGTCTGTTTGTACAGTACAGTAATGACTGTTTTCTGTCCAGAGAAGCACGGTTCTGTGAGGTTGTCTCCATTTCTGGTCCCCTGGAGAGTATTCTCTTCCTTTCAGTTGTGTTAAGTATTTTGTCCCAGCAGTGGAAAAGGGACAGAAACACAGGCCCAGCGCAGGGTGGCTGCCTCAGTATGTTATTTCTCAGCCTTTCAGACACAGTAGGTGTGATCAGCTTCCAAGGCCCAGATAGGGAAACTAAGGCCAAATAACATCCTTAAGATTACAGTAAATAAATGCCTGTGCCAGAACTTGAACTCCGATCTGCTTGAAATTGGTTTTGTTTCACATGTAGTCAATTCATTTTTCCTGCTAAAGGTAAAAGGCAGCACAAGTTACCTGTATGTCACCCACACAGGTGGCACTGCTCACTGGGAATGTAATATGAACAGCCTGTGTGTTTCACATGTTCTGCACCCCAGACTGTGAGAGCAGGGTACCATGTCTGAGTGTGTGTGCCATGTCTAACTGAGCCCATGAGCGGATGGGCATCGGAAGGACAGACAGAAGGGAAGCGCAGAAAAGGGACTGATGGACAGTGCAGTTGTTCCCTCTGGGAAAAAATTATTTTATGGTGAGGGGCAAACCCTAGAAGAAAAGGACAGGAGACTCAGGTACCAGCTTGGCTCCTGAGGAGTTTAAAATAGAGACGGGAGAGACCTTTCCATGTGTGACACTTCCAGCATGTTAAGATACTCAGCTCTTGCTCCACACTCTCTCCAGTCCTTATGCTGCTGCTTCCTGTGCGCATCACTGACCATATTTCTTTCCATGCTGGCGGGACCCTCATGATTCCCCACCTGTGTGTTCACCTTTAAATGTTCTGTCAGCCTAAGGAAATAAAAAGATCAGGGCAACCGTACTACTTAGAAGTTTATGACTACCTGCATATAACTTCACATACACCAACTGCTCTAGCCAGAAGTAACCAAGGCCCTGTGGAAGCCGCCCATGCCCTACCCTGTGGTCCCTCCAGAGAGCGTCAGGTCAGGAAGAGAGGCCAAGCTACCTTCTTCCCTATGACAGCTTTGAAGCCAGCCTCCAGGCCCCTCACCACCTAGCCTGTACCCATGGTTTGCCCCAGGGTGACAGCTGATGCCTGGGCTAGATCAGGGGAGGGGCAGTGGCAGGAGAGGTGGCCCCTGCACTATCAGTTGTGGCTGCGGGGGGGCCCAGGTGTCTACAGAGCTCAGAAATCTGACCCCTGCTGTCATTCACAGCCTCCTGCTAGGCGGGCTTGGAGAGGCCTTGCTGGTTTTCTCAGAGCAGAAGAGCTCCTGATGACCAAGAAAGGAGATTCACAGGTGGATACCCGGATGGAGAGCACCCAAGCCTTGGCCTTGAGCTCCCTGTTGGAGCATCAGAAGACCTCCAGGACAGAGGGACTGAGCCCTGCCCATGCCCTGCCCAAGCTGTGTGCTAAGGAGCTGCTTCAGGAGAACTTTCTGGGGTGTCCAGGCTGCCTCAGAGGGACGGCCCGCATTGCATCTTGCCCCTGGGACTCTTGGCTGTGCTGTGCTCAGTTCTGCAGAAATGAGAGGTGCAGGATTTCAGCAGCATGGCTCCACACACCTGCATCCCCCTGGAGGCCTTGGTATACTAAACGCCCGCACCTGCCTGCTCTCCACTTCTCGCCTAAGGTAAAAATGTTCAGCGGGAGCCTTGCACCAAGTAGCCTGCATCCTGCTCTTCCCCAGGGCATTAAACTTTGCTGATCAAAGGGGAAAGACTTACTCTTTGCTCCCACCACTCTAAGCCCTGAAATCAGTTCTTTTCCACTTGCAAAGAGTGGCATCTGCCCAAATGTCACCTCACGCCTGTCTCCTCGGCTGCTCTTTAAGCGCATGACGTGTCCTCAGCTTGCGGAGGAGGATGGCAGCCCAGTCCTGCTCCCAGCGGGGGACTGACCCTAAACACTTGTGCCCGAGAGTTTAGACCCTTTTGGTTTTAAGAGTCTCTAGCCAAGAATGCTTAGAGCTTTGTATTATGTTTCTGTCACATTCCAGTGTCCTGTTTCTCAAACCTCAGGTCTTCCTTACCATCCTATCTCCTTCTGTCTCCATTTGTGACCATTTTTTCTCAAGCTCTCACTGCCATCATTAAGGTCCGTGTTCACATGCTCAGCCCTGAACACAGGTTTGTGAGATGCCCCCCCCCCGATCTCTGACTCCTGGCAGCCATTGTAGGCTGGGACTGGGTCCCTCGAAGGTCACCTCCAGGTAGCCCCACGCTTCTGTTCCCCTCATGCCCTCAGTATCATGGTCAACACCAGGGTCTTTTTATTTGTGCAATACAGTGTGATGACTGAATTTTCTGTCCAGAGAAACACAGTTCTGTGTGGCTACCTAGTATTACTGATCTGCTCTGGGTACAAACAAAAATAAAACAGTCTATTTTCTTGGTAATTTGCCTTTTTCTCTTTAGCTCTGGGGGTGGGTGTGGGAGGAGAATTGCAGAAAAGATTGTTGGTATCCCTGGGGAGGGAGTTCTTTTTATTTGTGTGTGTGTGTGTGTGTGTGTGTGTGTGAGAGAGAGAGAGACAGACAGACAGACAGACAGACAGACAGAGGTACAGGGTTGAACTCAAAGCCTTCCCACTCAACTACATCCCCAGCCCTTTTTTTTTTTTTTTTGTGGAACCGGGAATTGAACTCAGGTCCTTGTGCTTGCCAGGGAAGCACTTATTTCACTGAGCCATCTCCCCGGCCCCCCAGCCCTTTTTAAGTTTTATTTTGGTTTTGAGATAGGGTCTCAGTAAATTGCTAAGTTGCCCATGTTGGGCTCAAATTGGCCATCCTCCTGCCTCAGCTTCCAAGGGTGCTGGGAGCACAGGTGAGCACCGCCACACCTGGCAGATTCTCGTGTCTGTAACCCAGGAGGCCCAGACGCCTCCTTCTGCCACGTCTTGGCCTCTTAACTCTCAGCGTGAAAGGGCCTGGGTGGTGCCTTGACCTGGGCTGTCCACAGTGTTCCCTCCAAGACTGAATCATGGTTAGACCAAACTCGCACATGCTCTAAGTGTGAAAATACACTGATTTTGAAGACTTCATGTAAAAAATGTAACATTTTTACATTGATCTTATAGTAATATCTAACCTATCAACTATAAATAAACATGAAATGTATATTCTCCAAGCTCATTTCTTCTTTTTACCTTTTATAATGTGTCCACTAGAAAGTTTGTGTGCAGCTGTGGTGCAGGCGATGTCTCTGCTGGTCAGCGTGAGTTCAGAGCCCTTCATCCGAGCCCAGGAAGTGGCAGGCGCTGGGGTGCCAAGCTGGCAGGGATACCAAAGGCTGCTGGTGCTCACTGTGTGCCAAGCTCTGCCTATACAGTGGCTTTCGTTCTTCCCACTGGGGTGCAGCGACATCAACCCATTTCTCAAGCAGATCAGAGGGATTCGGAAACTTCATCAGCATCACCCAGCAGGGACTTAAACCCTGTGGCCTTCCAGTCTTTGCTTCAGAGTTCCACGGAGGAGACAGTGGCCCCAACACATGATGGAACTGCAGCGCTCTGCACAGTGCAGGGCTGGGGACTCCTGCTGTCCCTGAGGTCATGAGGGCTTCCTGCTGAAGGCCATGTTCTCTCCCTTTGTCTGAGAGCAAGGACTGTGGCCTGTGTCCCTGCTGCCCTCGAAGAGTGACCCATTTATTCCTCGAGGCCCCTCCCTTGCTCACATCCCAGATTCCTCCTTCCCCATGACATCTGGGGCTCCCAGGGTTCCTCCGGAGAAACCCTCACCCTGCACTTCCAGGACAAGTAGCCCTTGTGCTGGACTCACAGGCTCAGTTCCTCAGCAGCTGGATGGTGATGGTTGGGTGTTGAGGTGGTGGGAGAGCCTGGAGACAGAGCCCACTGCAGTCTCCCGTCTCTTCACCGGGCTCACAGTGCAGGAGGGGGTGCTGTCTAAGATGTGCCCCGACCTATAGGTGGGGAATTGTACTGCGCTTGCTCAGTAGGGCAGGGACCATGACGCCCCTACTGAGCAGTGGCCTTGGACAAAGTGCGGAAGACCATGGGATCCACTAAAGGTGCCAGTGGTAAGGGTGACACCTGATCTTTCGATCCATATTCTAGAGAAAGGGGTCGAAGGAATGATTCCCTTGGCCTTATCCCAGCCCTACCCTGTACCCCAGACTTCAGGTTCCCTCCCTCAACCCAGCAGGGCCTCTAGGTTATGCCCCCCACAGTGGACATGTGTCCTCCTCTCTCAAGTCCACTTGGTTTGAACACTAGTAATAGGATGCACTGGAAATGGTGCCAGGTGCGGGAGGCCCAGGTGCCCAAGCCAGCCCCGCAGCCGTCCCATCACGGCTCTGCACCCTATGGACCGGCCCACTGAACAGCTGGATGCCACCAAGAGGCCGCAGCCATTGCCACATGGGCAGTGGGTCAGAGGGCTCACCCAGCTGAGTGGCAGCTGGAGGAAACTTTGAGCACAAAATCATGAGATACTGTAAAATCTTCTCAAGCGGCCATGGTTCTGGACAGTGTGTCACATAGAAGAAAACAGAGCAAGGAGCCTTGTGTGGTGGGCTTTGCCTGTCATCCCAGGTGTACTCTAGAAGCCGAGACAGGAGGATCTCTTAAAACTTCCCCCCTGAAATCAAGACCAGCCCAAGCACCACAGTGAAGACCCCACCTTTAAAAGGAAAAAGAGGGGGCCGGGGAGATGGCTCAGTGGAATAAGTGCTTCCCTGGCAAGCGCAAAGGCCTGAGTTCAATCCCCGGTTCCACAAAAAAAAAAAAAAAAGGAACAAGAGGGGCCAGGGAGATGGCTCAGTAGAATAAGTGCTTCCATGGCAAGTGCAAGGGCCTGAGTGCAATCTTCAGTTCCACCAAAAAAAGGGAAAAAGAAAGGAGGGACCTGGAGTAGGGACCCCAGCCCTGCCCACAGCAGAAGACGCCAGGCTACAGGGGCTATTCTCTGGGGCCCTCAATGCTGCTCATCCCAGGTGGATCCAGTCTGGCCTTGTGAGCACTTCCCCTGAGCGCACTTTTCCTCCAGGGGCAGCTGTCCCTACTCAGTGGCCTCCAGCCCAGGTGCTGCCCCTGGAGGAGAGGCCAAAGGCCCCGGGGCTGGCCCAGCCGTTCTCGCAGGGCAGGTGGTGCTTGATCAAAGGACCTCATTTGCTGGCTCATTTGCAAGATGTTGAGAAGCAGGCTTGGTTATAGGGGCTAGTGACTTCATGAATAAGATGAGTCCTTCTGGAGCCTGCTTGCTAGTGGCAGAGAAAAGGAAACAGGATTTCACAGCCAGTAAAGTGCTATGAAGAAAAAGTGGAGAAGGGCAACAGAGATAGCTCTTTTGAAAGTCTGACAAAAGGTAAAGATTTGCCCTTCCAGAAATGCACAATCACACACCTGTGTGCTGTGCAGTACACAAATCGAAGGGATTTATGGTCCCTGCAGTCCGTCTGCTGGAGCTCAGTAGTGCTGGATTCCAGGAGGATGGGGAGGTGAGGGTTGGCGCACCTGCCCTGTGGCACCTTCCCACGGGCTCCACTCAGCAAGGAGGAGGCCCATGTGTGGGAGGCATGGGCTCTGCTTGTCCATCATTCATCCTGGCCGGGGAGAGATGGGTCGGCTTGAAGTGGACTCGAGGTAGGTGGCCGTGGGAGTTGGAGGGACGTGGGCAGCAGCGGTCCTTTCCCTGGGGCTCCCCGTGGGTGGGTGGGCTACCTGAGCCTCTCCATGCTCCACCAGTGTGGCCTCCCCTCCTCTCCAAGGAGCTTGATTTCCAGAGAGTGAACAATTCCCCTGGGCCCCTGGGCGGGGAGTGGGGGCGAGCATTTGAAGGCTGCATCTCACCTGCATCTCCCGCCTCTTCGTACCCTGTGCGCCGGGTGTGCAGGGGGAGGTCACGGCAGGCTCAGGGACCGAGGCTAGAGGGAGGTGGCCAGCTTGGGGGAGGATGAGGGAAAAGTCTGTACTGTGCCAGGCCCCGGTAGGTGCCCCCATCCCCACCCCTACCTACCCCATGTGCTGGTCTGCCCCTCTTTCTGTGCCATTGGGAGGGCAAAGCCACTCACTGCCACCCACTGCCACCCACTGCCAGGCCAAGATACCAAAGTCATTTGTGAGCCAGGCTGTCCTGGTGCCTTCCCATGTGGCTGAACCTGTTGGTATCGGGGCCAGACACTAGGGGAGCCGCAGCTCATCTGGCCTTGGCCACTGGCTGAGCAGCTATGGGGTCTCTGCCCTTCCTAGGAAGCAGACCCCAAGAAGGGGGCCTTCTGGACACCTTGTCCATGGCAGACAAGCCCCACCCTGCCCCCAGGGGAGCCATGCACTGGTTTCTGCTTAGTAAACCACACTGTCCCAGGTCCCTCCCTCTGTCACTCTGGCGCTAGCCAGGAGGGGCCTGAAGGAGCTCAGGGCGAAATGATTGAAACAGTGGCCTGTGCCAGAAGGGACACTGGAGTCTTAATTTCCTTCCTGCACTGTGAGTGATGCCTACGGCTGGCACAAGCGGGACCTCTGCCCATTTGTTGTCTGAGTCCTGGCCACAGGGGCAGCCATGGAGCCCCTCTGCCTGGGCCGGCTGATTTGCATGACAAGTGGAAGTTGCCAGGCAATCTCAGTGTCCCTCATTTCTCTCATCCCGCCAGCTGCAATCCAGACATGCATGTGCACCCTAGGCACTGGACTCTGTGAAAGGCTGCTGCATTCTCTGGGCAGGGCTGGGCGACTGTCCTTAAGCAGCGGCCACCCCTACTGCCCCTCTTCAGACACCATGGCAGAGCACCCCGTGTCCTGGCAGGCATGGCTCTGGTCACTTCTCTGCAAGTATAGATAGCAAGCGGGTACACACTTAGACTCCACAGAGACACACAGCCTGTGCTTCATCAGGGTCTAATTCTCATGCCCTAGGATGCACCTGTGGGACGCCTCTAGTACAGTCCCAGAACCTTGCAGTGAGCGCCACTGTTGAATTGCAGGACATTTC